TTGCTCTATTCGAATACATTCTTCAATAAGTTCCTTTTTTACACATATTTAAGTTTTATAATAACTATTTTGTGGGTAGGATGTGGGTGTAGGGTGTGTGTGTGGATCTTATTCCATCAAACTCACACGCACGCACCCATACTCACACCCACACTCTCTTCACTTTCTGTCACCTTTTCCTTTTTCCTTTCTCTTATAAAAATTTCTTGTCATCTTCAAGATTCTTGGAACACATAAAACTGTTTATTCAAACACGATTGTATTTTTATTTTTATTTCTTTGTTTTCTTCTTCTTTCTCTCAATGTTAGAAAAAAAATTCTTCTTTCCTATCATCACAATGTCGCTATATATCGTATAAATATTCTCGCATAATATTAATCAAAGAGAATGTTTTTTACATTAATTTTGTTTTTCACTACATAAACAGAACTTTTCATCGAGCCAAAGAGTACCAATTAACCAGCACAGAGCACAATTCAAACTGTCGTTACTTCGAGTAGAGAATAAACTGTTTGAAAGATCAACTAATCGAATAGATTAATTTATTAATTTAGATCGTAGATCATTGTTCTATATATGAGATTGACATAGTTAATCAATTTAAGTATGATACATGATAAAATAACTCTTGTAATTAAGATAGATTGTTACTATTATAAGATGATCAATATTGAATAAATGAATATAAATTGTTTTACTAGTTCAATTTCGACATATGATTTATATGGTTCATACGCACAGCGCTCTGTTAGTACTTCTGCAAAAGAGAAATACCCTCATTGTTTTCTTCATAGATAATAGAAAAAAATATATATTAGTGCAACAAAAAATCAATTCATTGTGACAATGAGAATTCTTTTCTACTCGATTATTACTCGAATAAATTTGTTGAAGTGTTCTCTGGTAACAAGATGTTATACGAAATTTTGAATTCAAAAACTTAGGAAGCAGCTCAACAGCTATTTAAGATAATATAACCTATAAATGAACACATAAAATAAATATCGAGAGATAAATTCATAAATTGTAATTTCGAAAAATGAAACACATAGAAAATACATTGATCCTTATTTGTTTAGTTAAACATATGAATAACATTTTGAAATTATTCAAATATTCATCTATGAATGAGTAACTTTAAGTTGAATTAGACATCTTTTCTCGAAGACAAACCAAACGAAAAATATATAAATGCACAAGGTTTCATATATTTTCCTTTATCTTCTTAATAATAATTACTTGTTTATTGCGAATAAATATCTAAGAGTGATTTTTGTAAACTAAGAAAAGCATTGAAAGAAAATAAGAATTTGCTTAATCATCTATGAAAGATTTTATTTCGAAAATTTAATACTAAAAATGATCCTGACAAGAACAGTTTCCATTTGGATAGAAATGATGAATACGATTTGTGTCACGAACAATGATCAAACATTGATATATTTGAGCAATCATTTTGGTTACCAAATCTAAAATAAATAAAATTTTTTTATGTAAAAATAAATCAACTAATTGTTCAACTAACGACAATCGCCACAAATACGTAGATTTTTAACAATTTGAATACGATTTGGTAATGGTTGTTTAATTAAATTAAAGACAATAGCCAATCGTTCACTATGTCCACATAATACTGATTCAGTTGTTTCACCGTCATTTAATTCTCGAGTTATCCATGATTGATCAGGTTTATAACCATGTTCGATTAATCGAACTAATAATCGAGCTGATTCTTCATAAATTTCAGATGAATAAGGATTTGATCGATCATGAGCTCGAAATTTCTATTTTAGAGAAAAAAAAAAGACAATAAAATTATTTTTAAATATCTTTTAACTTACATGAACTTTTCCATTAATAACAGTCCAAGAACAACCAACAACTTTTTTTGTATTCGATTGACCTAATATCATTCGAACATTTGACGCCATGTTTTTATTTCCAGTTAAACCATATGTATTAGCAAGAAGAATTCGAGCTGATGTTAGATATTTTTCATTATTGGCGAAATTCGTTTCAATACGATGATAAATCTTTTCTGATAATGATACATCCTTGGCATTTCGAGCAGATGAAAGTATTGACACTTTATTTATTCAAACATATAAAAAACAAAATAAATAAAACAAAATAAATCAACTTACTATACATTGGAATGGAAGGATGATGAGATTTTTCATATTCATCAATTAATTCAAGTGCTTGATCAAAGAGAAAAAGACGACTAGTGGTATCAATCTATATTTGAAAAATTGAAAGTTAAATTTGAAATAAAATAAAATGAATATTCTTGACCATAGTTGTATAAATTTGGTCTGTTCGTTGATTGAATGGAATATTTTTGAAGATTTTCCAAGCTTGATCAAGAAGAGCCGAATGAGAACAAGCATTTAATACACATACATAAATAACATTATTTAACATTGAAGATGGAATTTTATTAAATAATTCAATTGCTTCAAAACCCATTCCATTTAAACCATATGCATTTACTGATATTAGAAATCAGATTTTCAAATCAATTATAATTTATTTTAAAATAATAATTACTCATAGCCCCAAAATAAACACTGTTTGGATGTTCAATCATGTCAAATATTTGTTTACTTTTATCTGGTGAACCAATTTTACCCTATTCGAATATATTCTATTATGAAAAAAGTCTTAATCGATTGATATTAAAAGAAAATTTTACCCATAAATCAATTAATCCAACTTGAATCCATGAATTTTTTAAGAAAATTTTTGGTATATCATTAACAAATGATTGAGATAATTCAAGATCACCAATTTTTGACAATGCATCAATTAGTAAAACATAACAAATTTCATCGGGATTTAGATATTCTTGTTTCATTCTTTGAAATAATTCCAATGTTTTCTCTGGTTTATCTTTTATATTATAAAATTTCATCATTGATCCATAAGAAATAACATTTCGATTAATTCGATTAAATAAAGATTCAGCACATTTGAGATCATCACATTTAATAAACATATTTAAAACCATATGTAATATATCAACATTTGTTTGATTTGAGTTAATATCTAATTGATTAAATACTTTTTTACCCAAATTCAATGCTTTTTCATTTTTTAATTGAGCACAAGCATTAAAAAATATACGCAAAATAACATTGCATGGGTTTTTTATTTGAAAAAAAAGTTCAATAGCTCGTTCTTCTTGTTTGTTTAAAATAAAACCTTAAACAAGAGAAATAAAAAAAAATTACAATAAAACTAAAATAGAATAGATCTTTTTTACCGTTCATCATTATACTATAAGTAAAGGAATTTTTATTTTCAATTCGATTAAATAATTGTTCAGCTTTGTACATATCACCCCATTTTATAAACATTTGTAAAGCAGAAGTTATTACTATAATATTATTAGAAAAATTTTTAGGCATTTTATTAAATATAAATTGTCCAAATTCTAATGAGTGTTTATTGGCTATCTCTGTACGAATTTTAAATAAAATACTATATGTATATTCATCTTTTGTTATATTTATTTCTTTAAAAAGATTTAATGCTTCTTCATAACGATTATTATCAATAAGATCTATAATCAAATCAGATAAACAAGATTTTTTATTTAAACAACACAAAAATTACCTTTGAGAATATTATTTAACATTAATGTTGTTTTTCTATTACTATCCATAAATATTTGTTTACTTATTTCATAGTCACCGCATTCCACTATAATAATATATTTTAAATATGACAAAAAAAACCAAATAATTCATTTAAATAACTTACTATATAAACGAATTAAAGTAGCTTGAATAAATGAATTGTTTATCATCGTAGGAGAAAGATTTTTGTGAATATTTTTGCCACGTTCTATATCACCAAGTTCAACACAAGCTTTTAATGCTTGATTAACAGCTAAACTTGTTTTTTGTTTATTTTCTTTTTTTATTTCATATTCATATAAATCAAGAGCTTTTCTAAATTGACTATTTGTATTCAAATTTTTCATTTGATTACTTAAATCAAGAAAACTTGATAAAAAACGACGAGAATAAAATCCTAGAAAGAAAATCATCTAAAACAATAAGTCATATCAAATATAGAGGAATCTTCTTAGAATTATTAACAGTATTAGATTTAGAAATAAATTTTCTCATGTCAAACTAAATTATCTCGACACAACCCGACATGAATCGACCTCAAATCTCTCGTCTATATTTCACCAACTAAATTTGACGATATAATATCTAAAGAATTTTCAATAGATGCCATCAATGATCGAATTTGTTTTGTTATCAAATCTAATCATTATCAATATATCCAATCATTTTTCTCTTTTAGAACATTGAATATTGATGAATTTCAAAGAATTTTTTTAAATCTATTCTATTTAATTTAATCAAATATAATCTCGTGTTTATTAAGAATTTCTATTGAACTATTAAGCTGTTCCATGTCTTATTAATATAAAATATATAGAAAAAAATATGAAAAAATTTCATATCATTTCATAAATGCTTATCTAAATAAAAAATAACTTACGAACTATTCTTTTTTCAAAAAACGTGTTTCTTTTAAATTACTAAATTATTTTAGATGATTTTTGAACAAATTCTAAAGAAAAACAATTAATATACGTACAGTTAATCAACTAATTCAAAACATCTAAAAGATTTTTAAAAGAACTATCCAAAATTTTTCACATTATTTTAGATTTACGTCAGTTAATATCTATGTTATATTTTATATAAAAATAGTTCATTTTATACAGAAGAGTTTCTTCATTATTTAATCTTTAGTTTTTAATAAAAAAAAAACAAATATTTCTATACAAATAATCATTTATGTAGACATTTATCTTCTACATAAATCTCTTACATAGAATAGTTATTATTCGAGAATTTTTGCTAAGTAAGATGATGTTCAATTAACTCATACATCACTTATGTAATTTTTTCATTGAAATATCAGTTTAGAGTCTATCTAGGAGAAATAAATAAAATTAAGTTAAAAATTATAGAATATCAATAATTCATAGTTGATTCTATGCAGTCAACAGAGCTGTTGAGAACGGAGAGATGGAAGTCAAACCTTTCCTCAACACACAATCTTTCGAAATTTTGTGGTTTTTTTATCAACATTTTTCAAAACATTTTTTAAGAACTTTTCAAAAATTTAAGAAGATTTTTCGAAAAATTTTAAAAAATCGTTTAAAAAATTATCAAAAATCTCTAAAAATTTTTCAAAACTCTTTGAAAATTCTTTGATTTGTCCCCAATATTAACCACATTGCAACAGCTCTGCCAGTCAGCTTATATTAACATGAACAAACGAGAAACTTTTAATAGAATAATCATCTATAATCATATGAGAATATTTTCATGTTTCTTTCAATTTTTTCCTGAAAATTTGTTTATAAGATTATTTTGTATTAATTTTAAAGATGTGTATGTTCTAAATCTTAATATAGTTGTCACATACTATCTATGTTTTATTTCAACATTGTTAATTATATTATTTGATAAAATAGATCATCAATACGAGTACAACAAATGAATAATATAAATATTAGGAATATTCATATTACTATCTATTTACTTTTGTTTCAATTCAGTTAAATGTCTTGTTATAAACTGAAAAAGATAATACTTTTATATTTAAATTTGCCTTGATGTGTATTATAAACAATGTTAACTATGAACTATTATTTTTATCGATTGAGTCACCGTTAGATACATTAAAAAATCTATTTTCAACATTCGACTTTAAATTTTTTATAAATTTTTTAATGAAACTAATTTATTTGATCAAATTTTTATTTCTTTAATATTTTCTTCGAAAATTTATGTTTTAATTGCTTTGAGAGAAATGAAATTCTTCTATTGAAAAACAAAACAGTAATATTTCAATTTCTCGACAAGGCAAAACCAGAAAAGTAAACCATTCTAATTTATTTTAGTACTTCATAGTACTTATTAAATGAATATAATATCGATTGAAAAGCAATTTAACACTTAGATATGTTTCATTGTACTTTATCGCTAACTGATCTCTATTTCACAATTAAATAGTTGTCAGCATTTTTTAAATAACTTTTTATAGGAACAAGATACAAATATCCCGTTTTCAGTGTTGGAAAGAGCAGTTGAAGACGCATAGAATTATATATATATAGGATATATTTTTCTAAATACTTTCCTTACAGATTTGACATAAAACTTGAATAAAAACAGGAAACTTGTGATGATGATGCTATTAATTTATTGATTTTCAGGAATTTCCTAGAATCAGCAAAGGAAAGACAACAAAACTATATCAAGAATCTCTTCCTAAATACTACTAGTATCATCTCAAAATCATCGGAACACAATTTGTCACCTTATTTTGTTTTTTTTTAAATAATCGAAAAATATAAATTTTTGTAGTATTTTAATAGAAAAGTCACATTCACACGTTTTAGAGAATCTAAATGAACACTTGTTTATCTCTGTTAAATAGAATGAATAGAACAAAAATAAATATAACTGTGTTCTATACTCTTCTTATTTAACGAACTTGATATACTAATTTTTGTTTTTTAATGATCAATTCAATTATTTTTTATGTTATAACAGCACTTTTCATTCTCATTCTTAATATTTTTCTTTTTTTTTGTTTCTTCATTTCGAAGGATAATTTATATTACAAAAAAAATCTTAATAAAATTGTTTATTATTATTTGATCGATATATTATAATTATAGATTAATTATAAAAAAATAGAAAAAAAAGAAACAGAAGTATGTTTTTAAAAAAGTTTATAAATTGTTTTGTTTTTTATTTAATAAAACAACTGTTTAAACCTGTAAATATATTCTAGATTATAATTGTTGCCGTGAGATTCATCTACTAAAATATTTCAAATAATATGCTTTAACTTTATCTTAGAAATTATAAACGATTTTTTTTTCTTATCGTTAATCAAAATGAAATAGTGAAGAACAACAAACAAATTTAATTAGATGAAATTATTTAATTGTAAAATATAAAACATTGTACCAATTGAGATGCTTTAAATATTTTACTATTTTTCGATATATAATTAACAAATCTATTCAATGTGAATAAATATCTAGAAATTATAGAAAAATATTAAAGATATTTGTTGAATTTAAAGTCTTCGCAATCGCTCAAATAATTAACAGTGAATTACCATTTATTTAACAAATTTATTTGAATGAATATATAAATTTGTTTTTCTATTGAGTTTTTATTTAAAAAACAAATAATTTATTAATATGAATTCTTTAGTAAAATTATTTATAAAAAGAAGAAA